TGAATATCATCACATTAATTTATTTCAGTATTTCAGTTCGTAAATTGTATTACTGTGGATTTATTGGAGACAGAGTGAAATATTCAGGTTATTTCTGTTGATTATGATTACCAGCTAATGAAAACCCAAATTTCAGTTTCTTGGTAAGTGAGAATGTTACATTAGACCAAGAACAAATGAACATCCAGCCACTGGGATTGTGTGCCTTTCCACTCATCTTCCACACCCTTCAACCTTGAAAACTAAATGAGAAACTAACTTTACCTTATATTTAAAAAGAGAACACTAAACACTTAGCTTCTTCACATATGCTACTAGATGTTTTCCTTCCACTCAACTTTCTACTAAGCTCTCTTCTTTAGCTCTGAGCTCTTGCAGCTTACCTCTTCATGTTGATGTCATTGACTGTATTCTGGATAACTATACAATCAACAGTCATACACATGATTGTGTGCCATAACGTGACAACTTTAAATAATAGATTAGAAATATTAATCTTATACGATGTTCTAATTTTTCTTTTATGAGAAATTGAAATTTGAGTTTTCATAATCAGCTGAATTTGCAGCAGATATCTCAATCTGTGTGCAATTGATCTTAATAATATGCAACTTTCCCTTTTTTATTTAAATTACTGAAATAAAATAAATTTTTAATGATGTTCTCTTGTATTGAGAGACAAATAAATGGTTTCTCCGTTTTACTAGTCAGTTCAACACTGCAGTGCTGGATTTTATACATCGACATGTTTTTGTCACTCCTTATAATTCATAATATTAGGGCTGTGCAGTATTTGGAAAACATAGCATTACATTAATATTGTTGTCCTTTTGGTAACAAACCGCTTTCTGGGACAGTTAAAGACCATCCAATTAATCAGTTACCTCATTAAGGTCCTCATTTTAAACAACGACTCCTAAAATGTTGCAGCCTGCTAAATATTGCATCTCGACAGATTAATATTTCATATTTCAGATCCCCTGGTAGGAGTAGATATTTGCACTGGGACTGTTACAGGTCTTCATTTTGAAAGCTGCCAGTGTTGGAATAGTTTCCTTGCTGGATTTTTTTTTTTTTTCCTATTTTGTTTTGAACTGTTTTCTCATGAATCATTTGAAGGTAAGACAGAAGTTTACTTGCACATTTGCTTTATTTTTGTTCATGATCATGAAGAACGGAAAGCTTTCTGAACTCGCTGAGGGCTGCAGAGTTTCGCATCTGCTGATGCTGACTGAACAGGAAGCGTTGGTCGGGTTGTCGCCGTGGCGACGCTGTGTTTATTTGAACCGAAGCCAGAATACATTTGGTGACTAAGCTGAACACAACCATCTTTTTTTGTGTTTTGGCCTTGGTGCGAGCCAAAGAAAAATAAGTGAGGTCATTCAGAATAAATGCAGGATGATGGGAATTAAAAAAAGAGAGAGGGAAAGAATGAAGGAGGGAAGTAGAGCAGGCTTGTAGATATCGCTCTTCCTTCCTTAGTTATCTTCTGCTGTGCAGGAACCTCTAATTTAACTTTTTATTTCTTGTTTGCTTGTTTGTTTGCTTTAATCAGGTGTTCTTTGTGACTCCACATGATCTATTATTCTGTTGAATTATCGTTTCACTTGTTTGTGTGATGATTTTTTTAAAGAGAGGAAATAAAGTGAAAGAAGCCTGCAGTTCACACTCATTTTGTGTGCTTTATTTGTTTTCAGTAATGCTTTTTGTTTTTCTGACAGCTGATTTTATATTATTTACTGTTTTATTTTGAGCGATGTTACAGAAGTTTTTTTTCTTCTGTAAAGAAACATTTCAGTGACTTTAAAGATGATTTCATGCATATTTTCCATCTTATCTGGTACTTTTGTATCTTGTATGTTTCCAACAAGATGCTTTTTCCATGATGTCTTCAGAGCATAAATTGTCTTTCGCTGATTGTGCAGCTTTGGGGAAAAAAGAAAAAAGAAGTGAAATAAATCTGAGCAGAACTGTGTGCCATTATTATCTACATGCCGCAATGTGAATTCTTCAAAAGGTGAAGGAGGTCTTGGTGTTTCTCTGCTCTGCTTCTGTTTCTTGAGCTTCGATCGGTGGAAATCTTGTCAGAAGTAGCTGACCAAAGAGGCCTGCTGTGCTCCGTGTTTTCAGACACACTGCTCTCTTTCTCTCTCGCTTCATTCTGCATTTTCTCTCTGGGTGAATGTGTCCAAATTCCTGCAAGTGTTTATGGATGCGTGTCTGGCAAAAAAACAAAACAAAACAAAAAAAAACATGATACTGTGTCCTCTCCTTTTGTTTTCGTTGCCGATACTGTTTACATCTGTGTAAATATACTCACCTGTTCTGTGTGCGTGCAACGGTCAATAAACTAAAGCCTTTGCATTTGATTAAAGCTCTCTGTCTGACGGCCTCATTATTTACCTATTTCAGTATTAGTTTACAGATGTCTGACTACTGATCCTCTCATTCTGACCTGATTGATATTAGTGTGTGAAAATGATCAGTTTCATCCAGTTTTACAGTTTGTAACATGCTAGCTGTGCTTCCATTAAAATGTCCATAAAACTTTGTCAATATTCTGCTGATGTTGAAAAAACACAATGAGGACATGACCACATGACTTGTGTACAGCTGAAAATCATTTTTTTACTGGTTTCTATTAAACAATTACATTTTTCTAATTCCAATGTGACTAATTTTATGGTCAATAGAAACTAACGTTTCAAAAATTAGATCTAGTGTGAGTTGTTTGATCCGTCATTCTCTCTTGTTGCCATTTTAAAAGAGCTAACAAATTATTGATATCGGTGCAAAAACACAAAGTCTTTTCAAGTGTTTCTAGTCTAGAAACTAGTTTCTGCCATAAGAGCTACAACTTTTTCATCAATATTAAGGAACTACTTACTTAAAACAAGTGTCTGTCTTGCTTGAAAGTTGGTATTAAGTTAAGTTTGTCTTATTTCAAGCGTACTAAGATATTTGCTCTAAGAACAAGACCAAAATACTTTGTAAGACTTTGTGTTTTTGCAGATTCCATCAAAGTAATGAAGCAAAATTTAGGATTATATTTATTCACTGTATAAAAGCTGATGAAAGACGTAACTTGTCTCTGTTTAAATGAAGGACTCATGTTCTAATTTCACATTTGTTTACTTTCATTTGAGTCTCAGGAGCTTCTAAAAGCATCCTGCCCCCCCCCCCCAAAAAAAACAAAAAAAAAAACAAGTCATTTTTTGCAACCAGTTAATGTTTTCTTCTGGTGTCTGAAAAATGAGCTGTCCCAAAACCCTGCCGATTTCTAAGTCACGTTCAACCGGCACTGCGCCGTTACCTAGCAACCCCAGCCTAGCCGAACCCCGTTACCTAGCAACCTAAGTGGAGCTCCAATACGATTGATTTGCTGGTTTTACCATTGAAAGCGCCATAGCTGAAATAAACAGAGCTTAAATCAGACATGTGCTGCCATGAGAGACAGCATTTGATTCTTCTTTCCCAACATATCAGGTAATGCTCCTAATATGGACATCGAGTCCATGCCGTTTGCTCAAGAATGTCTGTTTAGAGAAGGAAGTAGTGAGCACTTAGTTCAAGTTTTCCCAAGCATTTTGTGATTATTCAATCAAGGGATTTATTGTGCAGACTTAAAACACACTTTAAATGAAGAATGAGACTTAATAGAGTTTTTTTTTTATAGTTTCCTCCTCTGACTGGACATAAATACCAACTTAAAAACATTTGGATATTTTTGTCTATTCATGCTTTTGTAATCTTACTAATAGGTGTGTGGTAAAGGCAACAAACGTAGAATACATTGTTTTATTGTTTTACAAAAGTATTTACACCTGTTCAGCTTTTTCAATGTTTTATCATGTTACAACCTCAAATTTCAATGTGTTTAATCTGGATTTTGTTAATTTAAGATTGTGGAAAATTGTGGAGTAGAAACAGAGATACATGCTGTTTTTTTTTTTATAAACATTTGAAGATATTTGCATTCAGACCCAAAGAGTCAATACTTTGTACACTGCAAAAACACAAAATCTTACCAAGTATTTTTGGTCAAGTTTCTAGTGCAAATTTCTTAATACACTTGAAATGAAATTAAACTAACTTAAAAGTAACTTTTCAGCTAGATATGAGCTTATTTTAAGTTAATAATGTATTAATATTGATTAAAAAATTACTAGTTCCATTGGCAGATTATTTCACTCATTACAAGGAAAATTGCAGTGAAATAATTTTTCATCAGTTTTAAGGAATTAATTCCTTAAAACAAGCTCATATATCTTGCTGAAAAGTTACTTAGTTTTGTTTTATTTCAAGTGTTAAGATATTTGCAGTAGAAACTAGACAACAATACTTTGTAAGATTTTGTGTTTTGCAGTGTAGGACTACATTTTACTGTTACAATGTGACAAAAAAGTGAAAAAGTTCAAAGGGTAGGAGTGCTGTTACAATATAAAGGCTTTATAAATAAAGTTTATATCATTTAACTTGATCTTAGGTAACTTTGGCAGCTTTTAAGACAACAGACATAACCTCCTGATTTCTGAAATTTCACCCTGAAGCATCACAAACTATCTCTTAAGGCTTGGCTGTTTGTGTTAAGGGAGGATGCAGACATCTGCTAAAGCCCTTTGGGAGCTTTAAATCATATTTCTTAAGTAATATTCAGAATTGTGGGTTACTGCAGGGTGCATGTGTTTGCTTTGGGTCAGGACTGAGTCATCTTGGTTTCTTTACCAAAGAAGGAGATGAGTGAGGCTGGAAGTGTCAAGTTAACAAATCCCCTACATTTTTTTAAATAGCTGTAAACAGCTGAAGTGCTGCCAAGATAAATTATGTAATAGCTGAATATTTCTGCAGAGCAGAGCTGTAACTATGTTAAGTCTCTGCTCCCATCGATGCAGAAAAATTATGACTACTTTCCACCGATTTCCGTTTCTGCAGAGCCAATGAGAACTAAGTAAGCGCTTGTAGATTCCTGGTTGAGGTCATTGTTTATTGGGATTTGTAGGGGTTTGGCTCGCCTTTTTCTTTTTTTCTTTTCCTCTCTTTTTTTTCAGCTGCGCTCTTTAAAGCTGCGCAGTCTGCGCTCATTTGAACCCTTTCCGTCAAACCCAGCGGACCGGACGCATCGCAGCTGGCGCAAAGTGACAGACGCTTTCTGCAGAGGTGAGTGAAAACTGCTGCCGTGCTTATGTCCCAAATCATCAATTAGACCCTCTGTCCGGTTTTAATGATATTCATGTTTATCAACATGGATGAATTTCATCATGAGGATATTGTTTGGTTCACTTAGGGACACGTTTTCTTACTAGAGGGACATTTCCAACATGATTTCCTCTAGTCAGCTTGGTGTTAGCAGAGTTGGGGATTTACTAGTTAGATTTACTCAATTACATTTACTTGAGTAACTTTTTTTAAATGTACTTTTAAGAGTATTTTTGTACTTGAGTAAATTTATTATGAAGTGTTGCTACTTTTACTCGAGTAAAATGTCTTATTCTCTCCCCGCTGCGAGTAACTAAAAATTCACCAGACACACCTGCAGGTTTTATTGAAGTTTTGTCATTTTTTATTTAAAGAAACTGATTTGGAAAGTTTTTCCTTTTGTCTGATTTTGTGTTGCTTATATGAATTATTGTCATTTTTGGTTGTTAAAATACCAAAATTTCCACATAACTTTATATTTTGGTCCATCTGATTATGATATTTTAAATATTAAATCATTGATAATTTGATCAATACTCAGTACTTGAGTAAACTTTTTTCCAAATACTTCTTATTGAGTAATTTCTTGCATGGATACTTTTTACTTTTACTTGAGTAAAATATGTTGAAGTACTGCTTAGGGAGTACAAGTTTTGAGAACTCAGTCCACCTCTGGTAAGCTATAAGTGGTTAATATCTTTAAATGTATATAATTATTTATGGGGGAATTGTCTTACGAGCAACAAATGATGCACCAGACAACATCTCTGGTTATTTAAAGTTGCATTTTAACGTTACGTGAAGCAGTTTAATTCAGCATCAGGTGCCACTTTCTCTCCGAACGCATTTTACTAAATATTATGATTTAAGCATATAGTAGAAAGCCTCCAGAAGGTTTTTCAGTGGGTGACCAGATGATAATCTGAGGTTGACACACCACAAAAATGCAGAAAAAAAAGTTCTTTATTTTTATTTGTTTATCTGCTATTCCTTTGGATTATTTTAGCCGATCTAAAATCTTGCCTGCTTATCTTTTTAAAAAGATGCACAAAACAAAAACGCATAATAATGTCAAATAAATAAACACATTCTGAAACTCATTAAAGTTTGTCCAATTCTCCCTTGAGTTCTTGACTAAACTTCAATTCAGTCCGATTCAATAAAAAAAATACTTTAATAATTGTTGTTCTATGTAGTGTTTTATCACGCCACGCCACTAGGTGGAGCCGCTGACAAGAAGTAAATGAGAAACTTTAGGAAGAGTAAGAATAATTACGGCACTGTGGTTCTTCGTTAAGTTCGTGTCTGATGTGCTATGTTAAATATATGCACTGTCTTTTTATTCCACACTTTTACAAAAGTCCCAGAGAAAAATTTAATAATATATTTTATACGTAGCTCAAAATGTGTGAACTGGTAACAAGTAATCAAATCAAGTTTATCCAAGTCAATTTATTACATTTATTAAGTTATCAAGGTAAACAAACGTATATAAAGAAGTTTGATAAACTTAATTTAATTACTTGTGACCAACTAGCCCAGTTTTCTTTAGGTTGGAGCTGCAATCTCCTTTTTAATGCAGCTTAATGTTGACAACCACTATTATCTTTCTGACTGAGAGCAAAATAATAAACAACACAATAAAATGTACTGTTGGCAGTTTCCTTTAATTTCAAAGTCGTTTTTTTTTTGTAGGTGAAATTGGTCTGTGTAATTGTAAGGAAAAAGATAAAAATGTACATTTTTGTTGCAATGTTATCACTGGTATAAGTTCAGATTCAGTGCAAACAGTTGCCTGGGTTAATGAAGTGTCCACTGTCTGCTGCTCTCTTCCTCACAAACACCAGGATATCTGGATGGAGCTCAATGTGCTCAGGATCAAACAGGAAGCTGCAGGCTTGTTGTGTAACGTCACATCAGTGGTGCAAAATTCTTGAGTCATTTTGTTACATTTTGCTTCGAAACACTTTCTCATTTAATGTGGCCTTGGTCAGAAAGTCCACAGGCTTTCTAAATGTGATTTTCTTTTAACTTTTCCTTCTTTTTTTATACTAATTTTCAAACCATTAAATATTAGTCTCCAGACTAATATTTCATAAAGTTGCATAGCTCTCACCTATGAATCATTTGGCAGGAAAAAGGATCTCAACTCAGAAGAACCAAGAAATATAATTTAACACCAAAAAGGAAGTTTCCAAAGAGTTGTACATCGCATGTAAAGATAGTAAAAGATGATGCATCTGACAGGATCCTTGACTTTGCTATACTGCTCCTCTACAGAAGACTTTTTTTTTCTTTTTAGATGTGGGACTTTTCCACTTTAGGAACATTTTCCACAGCATCTGGTTGAGTAAAAACAGATTTTATGGATACAAAGTCACCCCAGAACACAGCCCGGTCAGGGAGATTTTACTTTTGTTATTACTCTCAACCTTTGAGGTGTAGCTTTTTGGGAGAAGAACAGTCGAAGAATAATTTCAGCGTTGTAATTGTCATAGATTTTAGCTTTAGAAGTGAATCCTCCTGTTAAAATAATATTTTAGGGTTTTAAACAAAAGCAACTGCCCAGAAATGTGGATTGATTAACAGGTTTTAACTTTAAAAGAAACAAAGTAGCTGCTGTTGTTGGGTCATCTGACTTTACTTGTTAAATATCTGGTATAGTTAAATATTTCCCTAGAGTTCAAATCCATTTTAATTTTGTTAAAAATACCAAATACTTTTAGTATTTTCTTCCATGAAGAGACATTAAAACCTGCTACAATTTAAAGCTGGAGAGTATGGCTGAAAAACGTATCACTATATAAACGATTCATATCATTTAATATTGATAATTGTCAATTTTGATAATTATTGATTAGTTTTTTGTTTTAAGTACTGGCGGCTTTACCTTTTCTGTTTTATCCTGTTTTCACTCCGGGTTGCTGTTTATTTATTATAAGCACTTATGAGGTGCAGCGGTTAAACCTTAAACTGCTGCTGTGTCAGTAACTCAACAAGTTGTTGCTAGGTAACCAAAGGATGAATGAGTTGCTAGGTAACCAAAAAGTGAGAGAGTTAGTTGATTCCATGAACCTTGCTTTAGTGGCTAACGTCATTCCTCTGCCTACATCTCCCATAATTGTGTGCTGTTCTGGATCAGCATTCAGTAAGTATTCAATATATTGAATATTCTATCAGGTGTATGATCTATTGATATTTGATATTGATATTTGAACCCAGGACCTCCTTCCTGCGAGGCAACAGTGTTAGTAACTGCACCACTTTAATATCTTTCAAATTCAGCATAATATGCTGCTCTATGGTTTTTTCTTTTGGAGGTGTGCAAAAAGGAAACATTGAACAAAGACAAGACAAATTCAAATGTATCAGAAAGTGTTTGACGACAATGTGAGATCATTTGTGAAAAAAGGAAGGCTGAAGATGAACTTTATCCTGCAACATGACAGAAAAATCACCATGTTTCAATATTATGAGATGGAAAGTCTTGTGAACAGCCAAAGTCTGGATCTTTATCACTTGAAACATGACAGAAATTTCTAAAACATCTCGCTACTGCAGCCAAAGAGTGTGGTAAATGTTCCTCAGACCCATTTCAGAGCCTGGTGGAGTTGTCACTGTAATTATTTCAACAGAAGGGCTAACATTAGGTAGCATATACAAACATTTTCCTCAGCTAGAAAGTGCCTTTCTGTTAAAATCCATTTTTAATAAGTGAAACAATGTAAATTTTTGTTGATTAAACACATTAATCACATTATTTTCCAGAGATTAGATTCAGATATGTGAGCATTTCTTGCTAAAATTCACTGGTGTGTCCTGATTTTGGCCCAGACCGTATGAACCCTGATCTTAATACCCTTCAAGTGTGTTTATGTGTGTAACCTGCTGAGCCCAAAGGTACTACTTGTGGCCATAAGCCTTTAAAACATACGTCCCCTCCCTGTTTTTACCCGGGATGCTGCCAAACCAACTACATGATGTCATTTAGGCGAGTGGGAGATTACGGCTCTTTCTCTGGCCTCCCTCCAGTATGACCTCACCAGCCTTTAAAAACCAAAACGTCTTTGTACGTGACTAATGAATTAACCAAACTTTTATGGCAGAGAAGAAGTCCTTAGCCGTCGTCATTTCATAAACCACTTAAAGCAAATGCAAACTTGGAGATGCAGCAGACTGAGGCAGTTCTGTGCCAGCTGTTACTCAGGCAGAGAGGCACTTTTGTTGAGGAGACGGTCCCATCACTCTTTCTTTTATTGCAAATGGAGCGGAGAGGAAGAAAGAGGGTGTGCCTCGGTGACGTCCACGTTGATGAATGGAGAGCAGCAGTGGCCCGGCGCTGCCTTAAATAGGCAACGCTGCTTATTTCTGTGAAGGCTGAGCAAACTGAGCGCAGGATAAACTGCTGTTCCCTTCACAAGCAGAGACTTAAACTCAACTTGAATGTTTGGTGGATTATAGAGCAACAGGAGAGCAGAAACAGGAACAAGAACGAAACGGCTGGAATAATATTTCTGTCAATAGTTTTGAAGGAATACTGAAACAGTGACGGCGGCATGAGTGGGATTTGTTAGAAGCAGGAAATTGCTTTTAATACTTAAAAATGAGATTATATTATTATATGTAGCTCTGGAAAACATTAAGAGACTGAACTGAACCCCACTGAAAACCTCCTGGTTTTTCCACCAAATACTGATTTCTGAACTCTTCCTGAGGTAAAACATCAGTATTGTTGTTTCTAAATGAATATAAGGTTTTTCTTTGCATTATTTGAGGTTTGAAAGCACCGCATTTTTTTCCTTATTTGGAGCATTTATCATTTTCTGGTAAATAAATACTAAATTTTTGCTTAGAATTTCAGACATGTCAGTATTTCATAGAATAAAAAAACAATGTTCATTTACTCAAACATATACCTATAAAGAGTAAAATCACAAAAAGTTAAAGTGGTCTCTTTTTGT